GACTACACTGGACTGAAGAAAAACCCAGACACACAAAAGGAAAGTTAGGACTTCCTAATTCTGTAGATAGTATGAAAGAAAGCATCTTTTTAAAGTACTTTTTAAAATGCCAGATGAAATGGCATGACGAAATATTCCACATTATTAGCTGGCATTTTTGTTATTGAAGGACCAGAAATGCAGTAGCAAAAGCCATTCTTCCTGTTTTTTTTTATTTCTTTTTTCATCTTAAGCTTTGCTTATTACCATGGCCCAGCAATCTGCCAGCATTATAAATTATCAACCATGGCATAACACTTGTTAACGTGCCATTGCCTCCAGCCACAGTTGACAGAAAAAGCAGGGTCCTGGAAACCTTGTAGGTGGAGGGAGGCGAGTCTAATGTATTTCCTGCTATTATAGACTGAAAAGCAGAGCCGAAAAGAGTGATGTACTGTAACTTGGAAAGCACAGGCTGCAAGAAAGAGAGCCACCCTATTTTCGAACAATTCCATTTGTTCCTAAACATTACAGCCTAGAATCTGAGAACTGGAAGAAATCTTGAGCTCACCTGGTCAAAACTCACTCATTGTTTTACAAATGAGAAAACTGAAGCTCAGGGAGGTTGAGGGACTTATCCCAAGTTACATTAGAGAATTTGTAGCAGAGCATAGGGTTCTAGATTTATAAAAATAACAACAAGCATTGATTAAGTAGCAGCAGCTAAGTGGCCCAATGACTTAGGAAATCAGGAAGGCCCAAGTTCAAATGTGGCCTCAGACACTTACTAGCTGTGTGACCCTTGGCAAGTCATTTCACCTTGTTTGCCTCAGTTTCCTCATCTGTAAAAAGAGCTGGAGAAGGAAATGGCAAACCATTCCAGTATCTTTCACAAAAAAAACCCCTCAAAATGAGGTCATGAGCCCCAACAGCAATGTGCAAAGCACTTCGTGGACATACAAAGACAAAATGAAATGCTCACTGTCCTCTAAGAACTTACATTCCACTGAATTGTCAGCTGGAAGGGACAAAAGAACTCATCTAGTCCAACCCCTTCATTTTACAGAAAAGGAAACTGGTCTAGAGACTCATCCAAGGTCGCGTAGATAATAAGTGGCATCACCAGGATTTGAAGCCAGATTCTTGACTGTAAACGTGCTTCTTTAGGATTTGTTTAGCCCCAGCATCGAAGTATTGTCTCACTTCAGTAGCAATACATCCTGTACAAGACTAAAACTCCAAACAAAAATTTTCTGCCTCACAGGATTGTTGTGAAGATCAAATCAGATCATGTATTTAAAGCTCTATTTAAACCCAAAGGCACTCTTTTAACATCAGCTATTTTTGGTAGCACGTTTCTTATCATCTCCATGTCCCCGTAATCATAACTCTCATCATATATATCCTGTTACATGTGTTATCTCATTTAACCCAAGCATCGTTGTTATTGTTCAATCATGTCTGACTTTTCATGACCCTATTTGGAGTTTTCTTAGCAAAGATACTAGAGTGGTTTGCCATTTCCTTCTCCAGCTCATTTTACAGATGAGAAAACTGAGGTAAACAGGGTGAAGTGACTTGCCCAGAGTCACACAGCTAGGAAGTGTCTGAGGCCAGATTTGAATTCAGGAGGATGAGTCTTCCTGACTACCGGGCTAGGCACTCTAATCACTGTGTCTGGCTGCCCTATAAGTATTATTATTCCTATTTAACAGATGAGGAAATGGAGGCAGCAAGAGATTAGGTGACTTGCTCATCATGGTCACAAAACAGGGTCAGAGCTTGAACTCAAAACCTAGACCTTTGACCCCAAATCCAGCACTCTCTCCACTCTACCAGGCTGACTTCCTATGTGCCTTGTCCATATTAGCTAATTAAATATTTGCTGAATAGAATTGAATGGTGGGTAGGAAGGAGTTTTCTTAGTCCATTTCATTTAACTCTCTAATTTTGCTCTTTGCCTATTGCACTCCTACAGGCCTCTGTTTATCCCACTACTGTTCTTTGTAATCCTACCATCACCCTCTCCTCCACAAGCTCCTCCAAGAAATACCACCTGCAGTGCTTGTTATAGTCAGAATACAAGGAGAGGCTTCCCACTGAGAGACATTTATCGTAATTCTTTGGACTCAGCCAGAAAGAGGTTTCTTTTTGGCTCAGCCGGTAGGGCTGTTGCTTATGCACTGTTGTGTTCAGAGGGAAAGCTAATGAGAATCTGGAGGCAAGTCAGAAAAATAACAACCACTTTTATTATGAAGTGTAAGAGCTAAGCCGAGCTGAATTGAAAACTGCTTGGGGAGCCAAGGAACTGAGAGATTCAATCCAGTCAGGGTCCACAGAAGCTACAACTACTTAGTTCTTCTGGGCTTTTGAATGATCGGAGGGGAGAACATCACATCTTAGAGTAACTTAAAACCATTTAAAAGAAAATCTAATCTATGCGTATCTTGGCTAAAGACACGTGCCTTATTCCCATGAGCTAATGCAGCATGAGAGAGCGGAATAGGTTGTAATAGGAATAAATGATGACTGCTAAGGACCGATGGGCACAGACAGTACTGCCCAACTAACTTGGGCTTAGAAGTCAGTTCAAGGGAGAGTAAGTCTCTCTGTCATCTTTGAATCTGTATCAAATAAATTCTGGGGATGGTAACACTCAGGTTTTATAATTGCCCTATTGACAGTGGGGAATATTTAGCACCTAAGCAGGCAGAGAACTGACCTTTTCAGCTCTATGTCAGACCAGAGCAAAAAAAAAAAATCCAATAGGGTTGCCATTTAAGATAAATTGATAGAGCTCCTGAGCATAATTAGTCTTCATTTATTACATGGAACTCTTGAAAATTAATGATTATCAATTACTTGCTTTCATAATGGATTATTTAGTTTCCATTAGGCTTCATTCCACTTAACCTAAGCTAGGTTTCCATTTAATCTACACACTTAAAAAAATCTTAAACTATTATTTTTCAAAAGCAGCTTCAGACAGATCCTCAGTTTTTGTTTAGTGGTGTAAAGAAACCGACTGGGAGGAAGAATAAGGATGAAGGGATGAGAAAATGATTAAGTCTGTAAAAGTGAGGAGAAAAGTGTGAATGGAATAAGGAAATGACTAAGTATAAAGTTTGGGGAAACTTAAGAGCTCAGGAGCAGAGATCGTGCATTGTACAAATTAATTTACATATCAAAAGAGAGGAACTATGTAAACAATAATGAGCACTTCACCAACATACGGCTTGTTCACCAGATCTAATTCAATTCAGGAATGTTATTTGTTTAATCTGAGCATTTTCATACATAATTTGTTTCCTTCATTTTTTTCCAATTAATTTTATGTATGTATATATTCTTATGAATATTTTATCTCCAAAGCATTGTTTCCCTGTTTCAGTGAGGAAGCAAATACAGTTGCACCCAAGGGCTGAAATTTCAGTTACTTAAAGGTTCATGGAAAAAAGAAAAAAGTGATAGTTCTTAAGGCCAATGCTTACACATTCACTTTTCTGAAGCCAATACTCACTCAAATGCTTAGACAATAGTTGTCACTATCCTCCTCTGTCTTCCTTTTAAAGGGTCTATTCCTTCATTATCACTGTCCTTTTATTTGCTCAATATTCTGAATAAAATGGAACGAGTAAGAAATTACTAACATTTTAGATCAGCCAAAGATGAAATCTTGTTTTATGGCAACTGCAGATTTCTGTGCTGCCAGCAAATGCCAGTTTTAACTAATTGTCTCACCTTTGCTACTATATCTTTTTAATCCATTAGAAGATGCTTTAATTGTTTAGTCTAAGCACTTAAGCTCTCAATCTTACTTAGTTGACAGTAACTGCTGTAAAAAGAGAGAAAAGCAAACAAAAGGAGTTTGGAAAGGAAGAGCTTTCCAGGACCATTCCCTTTATTCTACTCTTTCGCTTTTTTCCCTTGTTACAAAGCAATCAGACTCTTAGACCCTCCTGCTCTGAGACTCACACAGACTCCAATCCTGAGGTTCGGTTTTGAAGTACTTCGTGTGCCCTGTACTTGACTGGAGGAATCATCTGAAGGTCAAATTTAATGGATGAGAAAAATAATAGTTGAAAGAGAGGACAAATGGTGGATGGAGGTTAAATATGGTTAAATTTCTTAACAAAGAAAAAGAAAAAGAAAAAAGAAACGGATTCATTACAAAAATACCACTTACAAGTTATGAACTTCTTTGCTTCTGTTCTGTACTGTTCTAAGTGTCTAAGCACTCCCTGTATACAAATGAAGTTTTCAAGAGACCTGGGCACAAATCTTTGCCTTGGCATTTACTAGATGAGTGACTATGGCCAAGTCAATGCACCTCAGTTTCCTTATTTATAAAATGGGTGCTAACTCTCAAGATTTTTCAAGGAAAGCAATATGCAAACTTTAAAGCATTATTGAAATATGAGTTGTAATTATTAGGGGGAACTGCCCATTCCTAGATATTGCCAAATCTCTTGAATCGGCATATCAGATCCAGGCGTACAATGATGGTAGAAAGCAAGCTTAAAGAAAAAGAGGAATTTGTAACCTCCATTTGTCACACACACACACACACACACACACACACACACACACACACAGAGAACCATACATATTACGTCTGTGTCCAAATACAGACAATTGTGTTCACACGTGCTTTCCAATACGTGTATATGTGGATGGAATGTGTGTCACTTATACACTCTGTGAAATCAGAAACAAAAGCCCTGTTTGAGGAGCGTGGCATCCTATTTTTTCCCCCTTGATGGGACAGAGTTACGTGAACCATAGGCGCTCCTGCAGATGAAAGAGAGAATTGAGTCCAAAGTCAAAAATTCAAAGCACTCATTCCCGGGGTCTCAAGCTCAGTAGATCCCCACCTGGTGGCTATCCATCTCTCCCAGCCATCCCATCCCGAAGCGCTCGCGCTCCCAGGAGAAGGTGGCAAGGTAGTGAGCAAAGTGGATAGGTGCAGAGGGGAAGAGAAATGGAGGATGGGGACAGGACGGGGTCAGGACAGGACATACCAGCCCAGCCAGGATCCTCCGGCTCTTTTCGTCTGTGCAGCGCTCAGAAAAGACGCTCCTGTGGACTTGGAGAAAAAGTGTGGCCACTAGCAACCAGCAAACGGTCCAGAAGAGAACGAAGAGGAGGGTGCAGCGCCTACCGAGCTTCCACCTCAGCCTCCGGATGCCCATAGGGACCTTCATTATGCACCCTCGGGGCCTGCCCTCTTCTCTTTCACTCCTTCCCACTTTAGTGGGTCTGCAGGCACCATGCCCCTGGGGCCAGAGATTCCGGGAGAGCCATTAGGAGCCGGGGATACTAGACCTCGCGCAGCGGCTTCCGCGCTCCAGCCCCCGGGCTCAGCGGAGGGGGGGGGAGCGAGAATGGGATGCAACTGCCAAAATGCTAGCTCCTGAGCTGCCTGATTGGCTTGGTCTGTAGGAAGTGACTGGGGGTACCCACCGTGCACTTGGAGACCCGGCTGCGGCAGCAGCAGAGGAGGCGGCAGCAGCAGCAGCATCTCGCGGACTGGGTCTGGATTCTGCTCTTCACTGGAGCCTCCAGGGTATAGGAGAGTCCTGCAGCCTTTGCACTTCCCAGCCAACTCTCCCTCCCTTGTACAAGGATTGTTTCTCTCTCTCTCTCTCTCTCTCTCTCTCTCTCTCTCTCTCTCTCTCTCTCTCTCTCTCTCTCTCTCTCTCTCTCTCACCTCTTTCCCCACTCTTCCTCCCGCACTCTCTCTTCTTCCATTTCTCTCTTCCTCTTTCCCTCTTTTCCTCCCTTTTCTTCTCCGTCTCTTTTTTCCTCCCTCTTTTAAGGTCTCATCCCTCTCTTCCTACCTCTTTCCTTTCCTCCTCTATTCCATCTCTCTCTCCTTCCCTCTCTTTCCTTTCTCCTCTTTTCCCTTTTTATTCTCTTTTTTTCCTTCCTTACTCCCAATATACACGTTTTCCCTCTCCTCCTTTCATTCCCCACCCCCCCAATCCTCCGAAAAACCGCAATCTCTTTCGGAATAGAAGACACGTCGTTTCTTCTTTCGACTACAGCTTTCAGTATCTTCCTCCTCCACAATAGTTACTAGACAAGTTTTTCTTTTCATAGTCTCCTGCGCACCCTCCGCCACCCCTATGCCCTCTACCTCTTCTTCCTGCTATGCCTTTTCACTAAGATCCCGCTGGAGAGTAGGAGAAAAGGAGAAGCAGGAACTCCTGGATCCTGGGCTCATCCCTCTGCTTTTAACCTTGGTGTATCTTTCGGAAGGTAGCTGCCCTGGTTAGTGTGGAGAAACGTGGCTCCAGGCTTCCCGAGCCTCTAGGAGAAAGCAGAGTTCCTTGGAGATGGAATGATTTACCCGCTTTGAGCAGGGATGGGAAGCTTCGTGGGGAGAAGGACCAGGGCTGTTGGAAAAGAATATTGTAGTCATTCTCACACTGGCATCACTATAGGTTATTTTCTGGAGCCAAAAAGCTGTATGTGCTGTAATATGTATTACACTTAGCTTACCGGGCGACAGGCGGGGTAGCATTTATTTAAAATTATATTCACCTCTGTTCTAGAAACTAGTGCTTCTCCTTTAAAATTCCAACAGTCCTAAGGCAGGCGCGTCAGTGACGGAGAATTGACCCAAACTAACGCACAGTACCCAGTACTTGGAAAGACCTAGGCTCTCCTTAACCCTCCCACCCAAACGTGCCCCTCCCTCTCCCTTAACTATTCTTCCAAAAGTAATGTGATTGGGTTTAAAGGGGCAATCCGCCCTGGGTGGTGCTAGTGAATAATAACGGAAAGATGGAAAAGGTTACAGAAAAAAGCCTGGAGCTAGGGAGTTGAAGAAAACAGTTTCCTTCGAAAGGGGTCTCATGGCTAAAGTATGACTATTCATCACCAGACTGCCTATACTGTACCGAACTTAGCCTTTTGGTCCGAAAAGGTCTGCTAGCACCATCAGCTTCGGTAGAACTGTAAAATTATCCAGATAAGGCAAAGTCCTTTCGGTATTCTGCTGAATTGAGAAAGCCCAGCCTTGAAATTTGTTCTCTGTGGAAATACTTAGAATAATAATGGAATAATGGTATTTGGAAATATTTCCATAATGCCTGGAGAGCCTCACCATGGGTCTGGAGATCTCAAAAGCTATGCTGATGAAATACAAATATTGGAGGGTTCTACCTGTGAAGCCAGAAAGGCTTTAGAGTACCTGATGTGCCTTCCTAAAGGGCCAGCCTCAGCTAAGTTTCTAGAGACAAAACACCAAAGGTTGGAATACCAAGCAATGAATTTGCCCCAAGTCAAGAAAATCAACTGTTTAGTACCATGAAAATCCAGCTGCTGGAGAGTTTAAGGTCTTTATTGACCTACATTGTAATCAAGGATCTTTGTATAGACACTCCTTTAGGATGAGCAATAAGACAACTGTAAAATTTCAAAGGATTGAGATGTCACTTTCACTGCCAAAGCACTCCTTACAGTTTAGTGCTTATCTATATTATCTTTGTCTACCAGAATCTCTGATGTAATTTTATTTCAGCTTTATGTCACAGTTGGAAGAGTCTTCAAAAATATATTTATTGCATTAAAATGAGTAATTTCTAAACAAGGTGAGGGCCTTTAGGGGGATACCATTAAATAAAAGCAAAAGAAACATGCAATGTGTCTATTACTAACTCTCCTAATAGTGGAGCATGGCTACTTGTACAAATGAACAGGATTGAAAACCTGAAGATCAGCCAACTGGAGAATTTCATGCCTAGTGGCTAACTCTCTTCTCCTCACTCCCACACATTAATCTTTTGTGAATTTTTTTTTCTAATGTGATTTAGGCGATAAGTTAAAATAGGTGACTGAAGAACTTTCATTATTCCTGATTTCATTGTTCCAAAATGGTTGCCGTGCAGCCAGGGAGACCATCACAGTACACTGTTTCATTGCACACTAGTTTAAAAATTCCTGCACTCAATGATTTATTTGACTTCCCACAGTGCCTTCTAACCAAGAAAAAATGAAGCAGTAGAAGATTCAGCCTGACTAGACAATGTTCTTTAAAAATAAGAGCTTTCAGGCACAGGTTTTGATACTCTTACATAAATAACAGAGCTTGGCAATTAACATTATTTCACATACTTATGATAAATTATATTTTTGTAAAGTTCTTTACACTTTAAAATCACAATTCTTTCTGTATTGTTTTAGAATATGTCAGAATACTTTACAGTCTACATCACAAAGAAGACTACAAATTCCTAGAATAAAATTAACACCTAATCTCTCTTTGAAATTAAAAAATACATACATTTGAAATTCTGGCTTAAATAATCATGGAAAATGAATTTGGTCTTATCTTCAGTTAATCTCTGCTCATTGCATATCAGTCAAACCAGTGTATGGCTTGGCATAATTCAGAGTGATTGGCAGCCTTTCTTTGGACCTGGAAGAGAAAGCTACTCCAGGTCAGGATTAAGTGTATTGGCAGAGATGCAGGAGGGAGTTTGGCCCAGTGCCTGCCCCTTAGATGGAGTTAATACTATTAGCTCTCCATTCAGGAATAATTTCTTCAGAAATTAAAACCTGAGAACCACTTTCTCTTATGCTCTTACCTGAAACTAATGAAAATTGAAGACATATGATTAAGTGAGGCTGAATACATTGATCTTTACCCATAATGTCCAATTTCATTCGTACAAATTGTAAGACCTGCTCTTGTGGAGAAAATGTAAATTCAGCTTTATTTTTCATGGAGCAGAAGAGTTGCAAGTCACCACTACGTTCTAGTTTCCAATGACTTATTACATGCCGTTGAGCTCACGTCTTCCAAAATAGAGGACAATCAAGCACACTGTTGTGGTGTTTTGTTGTTGTTTTTTAAACAAAATAACTGAACACCCACAAAGAAACATGAATATCAGTTTTTCTATGGAAAGACAAGGAAACTTTCAGCACCCTCAGGAATTTAGCTTTAGAAACTACATTTAACACATAAATATATCTTCATGATTTCCTGAGGCAAAGTTGAGCAATTCAGACACATTATAAAATTTGGAATATGTTTGAACATATCTTTGGGGTTCTAAACTCATCACAAAGAAGCTGAATATCTTGTTTATGTGACATTACAGGAGGGAAATATAATTCTGTAGTTTTTATGGCTGCCACAATATTTGAAAAGTGTTCTTAATTGAATTCTCTGTCCAACTCTGTTCTTTTCTTAGAATAATATTCTGACAAAGCACAATTCATCTCAAAAATAATAACAATAGCTTACCTTCAAATAAGCTTTATACTTTTTGAATTGCTTTCAGAACCCAATGAGGAAGGTTGGACAAATACTATTAACCCTTCTTGAAAGATGAAGAAATGAGAGTCAATGTAGAGTAGTATAGCTAGAGCATTGGTCTGGAAGTCTGGAAGACTCTGATACATACTGGCTACATGACCCTGGTCAACTAATTTAACCTCTCAGGGTCTCAAGCAACTCTCCAAAAGCTATTAGTGAAAAGAGTGTGCTGATGTGGCAAAAGGAGCTCCCTCATCTAGGATTTCCTTATAATTTAACACATCTTTAGGGTTCTAGTACTAACTCTGTGGAGTTGTGCTCCTCTTTCTACTATTCTAGTTCATGAACTCTATTGGTCTATTTCCCATTAACAATCAGCCCATAGATTCAATTTTCATTTACTTAAATGGCACAGCAAGCAAAGTAGTTCTAAAACATTCCACCTATGTGTGTGGTCCATAATGGCTCAACCTATAATAAAAGAAACCAAGGCAGAGCTCTGAGCCAAAGGCACTTAATTAAGGGGTCCATGGGCCCTTCTAATGAAGTGGACCTGGGTTCTTCTTCACAATCTGAGATGCCCCCTTCTCTCCAGGACCTTAGTTTATAGTGCTTGATTCACCTAGATTAGATTCTCTTTACACTTTAATCAGAAATAGGCTCTCCTAGTTTGGTGGGGTCCCTCCTAAAATTGAGGAGAATGTTCCCAGAGGATTAGGCCTATCTCATAGTCCAGTCATTCAGAGGCTGACCTAAAAAGACTGAGCATTGAATGAGGAAGTAAAAAGAGAAAAAACCATAGATCTTGATATTACTAATTGGTTATTAATAATCATTTCTCTCTGTACTCAGTTTGTAATGTCTTTTAGCTCTCAAAAGTACTGAAATTCAAAGTTTAACTATTCAAAAGCTTCCAAAAATGTTTGCTCAGCCAACCAGATGGTTCCCATATTGACTCATAAAGGTTTCACAATTTTTACAAGTTAGTTTAACACCTTATTAATATCTTGTCTAGTTTTCATCCCCTATCCCTACAGATGAAATACTTGAGTAGGATACTTTTAGGCTTTGAGAAAGTATTAGAATCTTTTCCAGAGGACCGGTGAGAAGCCTCCTTCATTTTTCTCCCCTGGACTAATTCTACTTTAAGACCTGTCATCCCTGAAGCAAAAGAATCCCTGCTCCAGGGGCCAAGCTCTAGCTCTTCAAATCCCTCTATCAACTCAGAATGTTGACCTT